GCAGGTAGCAAGGGGGAATGAGGCGGGTTGCAAGGGGGAATGGGGCGGGTAGCAAGGGGGAATGAGGCGGGAAGCATGGGGGAATGAGGCAGGTAGCAAGGGGGAATGAGGCGGGTAGCAAGGGGGAACGAGGCAAGTAGCAAGGGGGAATGAGGCTGGTAGCAAGGGGGGATGAGGCATAGGCAGGTAGCAGGGAGCAGGAGGGGATGAGGCGGGTAGCATGTCTCAGCATAGGGTGAACATATTGGGCCTATGTTGTCAAACAAGACGTATAAGGAGGATTTGTTTGTCCCACCGTCCAGTCCATCGTGACAAGCCAACAAGCAAGTCACAGAACGCGTGGGTGAGGCTTCGAAACAGTCCCCATCACTCACGTGACCAAACAGCAAGTGTTTGTCACCTCCTGTCAAGCATGAAATAAGAACATACAACACATCAACCAATTTATTTATGCACTATAGCTGCCCTACATGACAACAGTGCAGAGACGCCCCATGATGGGAGTTTGTGTTGGAAACAATCGGTCCTAAGCGCCTGTGTCGTGTCGAAACACCAAGACACAAACGAAGCAAAACACTACGGTATCGAAGCACCAGCGAGTCAACCCTCGGAGGATGAAGTAACTGTCGGAGGTTACGGTCAGGTCAAAGGTCAACAACCGTTGACCTGACAAGTACAGCGCGACAGCAAGGACACACAACTGACTCGCTGCAGAGCAGTTGCCCGAGTCGTCACTGTATCGAACCACAACAGCAACAGTAAAGTAGTTGCAACCGTATCTCTTCGTATTCCTTGTACTCTTATATAATCTTGTATCTCTTTGCTTTAATCAATTTACTTTGCCCTCGCATACAAGCGCAAGGTGGTTCACAACACTTTAATTAACGCTTCCGCTACTACACCAAGTATACGCAGAGTTCACCCCTGCAAAGATCCTAAGGGCTTTTCAGCCCAACTGGTTGTGTATGGCACTGGTAATGTTGCACCACAAATGACATACCAGTAGCTACCTTGTTGCGACACCAATATATTATTAACCTAGACCATATTTAAACAACAATCAAGGTAACAGGGTCACTGCTCTCCTTAAACAATATGACAGTTGGTCCGTGAAGGATGTGTCTGGTTATGCACTGTCGGTGCTCATACTTTTGAGTAAACGTACGGTATTGGACAGCTCAACATTCCTTTGGTAGTAATGATTTATATGTTTTTTCAACACTATATTGCAGCCTTGCAAATAAATGTGTGATTTTGTGCCCCCCGTGCGCCATACCACGTACCTCAGTTCATTGCCACGAACGTTGTTCTCTCCGACTTGCGACCCAATCGCCACCACTCACAACTAACTCCCGAGCATGCGTTCTTATCGCAGGTGTTCCATAACGGCTTCGTATCAGACTGTCGCATCGCTGTACGAATTGCGCCAATGGTTCGTCCCCGTTTCTCCGAAGTGGCGATTTGACTATTGACGTGACGCCTGCGCCAAGCTTCGTGAGGCACGCGTGGAAGACTATGAAAATTAGCCACATAAAGTCTGTGCGGGCAGAATAGATATCTTTCGTGAGCCCTAATACACTAGCGCACGTTTAAGCACTAGCAACATTTTGTATCGCTCCCTGCCGCTACTGGACGGATAAACGCCTACTCCCACTGAATCATGCCCCATTGGAGCCGCATTTTTTTATGGATGCACGTTAACCACCGTGTGATTGGTTGTTTGGGGAAACGAGGGACCTGGATGTCGCAAGGTGGAACAGAGCAAGAAACACTCCAACCCTCGTCACCTCCGTGCTCCTCTTGCGTGCCTGCTTGTGGGACGGTCATCTGCTCCAGGCCCCTGTCTGATACTCGTCCCTTCTAAGCTCAACAATTTTTTAGTGCGCGAAGCGTAGCTGTCAGGTTGCAACGTCAAAACTAACACACACCTCAGACTTCTGCGTGAATGGAAACCTAGACATTGCAATGGATAGTCAGACGATTAAGGGGCCCGATGGGGCGATCGTTTTGGCAGACTCGTCGAAATTGCCGGAGGAAAAAATTTATATGGAGTTAGTTACAGTAGATAAAACGGCCGAGATCGTTAACGAGTACCGCAAGTACAATGCGTCGTCGGCGCGTGATGACGTTGAGTCAGGACGGGACTCTTCATCTGGTGACGAATCAAATAGCGACGGCGATGTTGGGGCATACGCTAACGAGGGCGTGTCCTCCCCTCCAAAACCACGGGAGAGGCGCGTGAGGCGCTTAGATGACATCGGTCCCAAAGCCGGCCAGAAAGGTATGTGTCTTTGGTACCATCTGCTGAAAGGTAGACTTGCATGATTAATTACCTCCGACCGATCCAGTAAGTGCGGTTTGCCGTCGTGTTTGACTTGTTCCCGTTACTGAAGCTCCGATTGTGCTCCCCCGTAACATTGTCAGAGGACAAGCGTGACAACCGAAAGGGGCGTAAGCGCCGTCAACAAAAGAGAGGCACTACTTCACATGCTGCGTCTGAAGGCGACGAGGAGGTCGAGGACGGCGGACCCGTCAAAGAAGGTGCGTGTTTGTGTAATATCGCCGGTTTCTAAGTAGCACGTTACTCCCTGCATCGACTGATCATACTGATGCCACTTCGTGCAATTAAGGTTAGCGCGCACTGGACTGCTAATGTTCTTGTGATGTCCGCCCTCGCAGCTCCGTCAGCAGGCAGGCGTGCAGGACAACGCGGTAGATGTTATGACCGTAGCGGGAGGGCTGCGGAGTATCATGGTAGTCCATCTGGCCGCCTAGGAATGTCTGCGCGTGGCGACGAGCAGGAACATGGTGAGCTTGAAGGGCGTGGTGGTGGAAAGCGCAACAACGCGAAGGCGGCGGCGGCGGCCAAGGGCAGTCCCTCGGGGAGGCTCTCGGAGGACGTGGCTGGTGGCGATGAGCATGAACATGGCGAGCTTGAAGGGCGTAGTGGTGGAAAGCGAAACAACGCGAAGGCGGCGGCGGCAAAGGGCAGTCCCTCGGGGAGGCTCTCGCAGGAGGTGGCTGGTGGCGACGAGCAGGAACATGGCGAGCTTGAAGGGCGTGGTGGTGGAAAGCGCAACAACGAGAAGGCAGCGGCGGCGGCCAAGGGCAGTCCCTCGGGGAGGCTCTTGCTGGATGTGGCTGGTGGCGACGAGCAGGCGCTGCCCAGGCCCGTTATAGAAGGTTGGCGGCTCCTGGCTACCTCTGTCGTTGATTTTGAGGTTGCATAGCCTTCGCTGCCACCCTCCTTGTATATTGTTACCTGTTGCACTAGCAACTATGTCGTGAGTGACGTGTAGCTGAGATTGTCTCTCTCATATCCCTCTCGCTGCAGGGCTAGCAGAGCAGCGAGGTGGTGGCGGTATCGATCAGGATGAGGACAAGCCTGCAGCAGTCACGGCTGGGAAAGAGCATGGACGTGAAGCTGTGATTCCGTACAAACGACGCAATGCTGTGGACTTGGCCGGTCGCGACCGAAATGCGAGACAAGCTCGACAAGGGACGAAACAGTATGTTTCGAGCTCGTCGGGTTCGGAGGAGGGATCCAGTGACAGTGAGTCAGGCAGCTCATCAGGGAGTGAGGAAGTATACGAGGACGAGGAGGAGGAGGAAGAGGAAGAGGAGGATGAGGAGTTGGAGCCGGAGAGCGAGGATGAGGAGGAGGCTCGGCCTTTGAAGAGGAGGGGTGTGCGGAAGACCAAGAAGGGCAATGGAAAGCGAAAATCGGAGACAGGACGGGTGAAGAGCTATAAGCAGAGTGTGCGTCGTGCCAAACCACATGGCAAGCGCCAGAGACCTCGATTCGAAGCTAAAATTGTGGGTGTGCGTAGCAAGGAGAAGCGGGAGTTGGATTTTTACGAGTCCATGGGGCTACGATGTCCATCAAGCCCTCATGATCGGAAAGCAACCGACACGTATGCTGCGTTACGCGAGCAGATGGATTCGTCTGGGAAGGGAGATCCGTTCGCTTGGGGGTCAGCGCGGTTTGGCACGGAAGCGACGGACCCGCATGCAAAGCTTTCGGGGGGTCACGCGGTTCAGGTGAAAATCGAGGGAGCAACGAAGCGGCACGAACCCTCGGCCGCCGCAGCAGCCAATGACGGTGTGGGAGGAGGTGTGTGGGCGAATTCCTTGGGTGAATGTGGCGGCGGTGTGGAAGGCTCCATGTGGGATGTACGGGATAGCAGGGGAGAAGGAGGATACTTGAAAATGGATCCGGCGACTAAGGAGGGGAGGGGCGAGAGCATGGGCACACCTGGCGCATCCAGTCGGCCCAATGTGGCTGGCGGCAAGACGGTGGAGCAGCTCATGCGGGAGCTTGCCCAGCGGGATCGCGAAATTGCGGCACTCAAGGCAAGGCCAGGAGCCAAAGGACCTGTCAAACCCTGCACCCCTCCGTCTAGGCCTCCTCGTATTGCGTCTCTGTCGAGCGACCCATCTGCAGTGGGCCTCGATCCAGGCGTGGCGCCAGAAAGCCCATCGACGGTAGACGTACCAGTCCGTCGAACGCGTGGGATGCCCAAGCCCAAGCTGCTGAAGGTGGGTATGTTTAAGTGTTAAGCAAGGTGTGGCATGGGGCTCAGTGATAGCTGCAGCTCTCTCTCTCAACACCTCGTTTCCCCCACCTCTTTATGCTGGTCAGAGTGTTTGTACCATTATGCACAGTGATAGCGGCCTGACTGCGGTGTGATAGCACTCCCAGTATGCCCCCGCTTCAAGGACGCTGGCGCTGGGCGTACGATACTCTCACACTCTGCCCCACCTCTCCGAGCTCACCATAACTGTTCTATTTCCTCCCCCCCCCCCCTCTCTCCCGTCACTCCACATCCTCTTCCAGAGCCCCTGTTCATGGCGCTGCTTGTCTGGTATGGGTGGCCATGCGGCGCAGAGATAGCAGCAGCCCTCTCTGTCATCCCTACGCGCCCAATCCCTTCTTTCCGCTTGCTCCCCCCCCCCCCCCCCCCCCCCTCTCTATCCCACCCCTCCCCCTCCTCTTCCAGAGCCCCTCTAAACGGTGCTGCTGGTCTGGTGGTGGTGGCATGCGGCGCAGAGATAGCAGCAGCACTCTCTGTCATCCCCACGTGCCCAATCCCTTCTTTCCGCTTGCTCCTCCCCCCCCCCTCTCTATCCCACCACTCTCCCTCCTCTTCCAGAGCCCCTCTAAACGGTGCTGCTGGTCTGGTGTGGGTGGCATGCGGCGCAGAGATAGCGGCAGCACTCTCTGTCATCCCCACGTGCCATTTCCCCTTCTTTCCGCTTGCTCCCTCCCCCCCCCCTTCCCCTCTCTATCCCACCCTCTCCCTCCTCTTCCAGAGCCCTCTAAACGGGGCTGCTGGTCTGGTGTGGGTGGCATGCGGCGAAGAGATTGCAGCAGCACTCTCTGTCATCCCCACGTGCCCAATCCCTTCTTTCCGCTTGCTCCTCCCCCCCCCCCTCTCTATCCCACCCCTCTCCCCTCCTCTTCCAGAGCCCCTCTAACGGTGCTGCTGGTCTGGTGTGGGTGGCATGCGGCGCAGAGATAGCAGCAGCACTCTCTGTCATCCCCACGTGCCCAATCCCTTCTTTCCGCTTGCTCCTCCCCCCCCCTCTCTATCCCACCCCTCTCCCTCCTCTTCCAGAGCCCCTCTAAACGGTGCTGCTGGTCTGGTGTGGGTGGCATGCGGCGAAGAGATTGCAGCAGCACTCTCTGTCATCCCCACGTGCCCAATCCCTTCTTTCCGCTTGCTCCTCCCCCCCCCCCTCTCTATCCCACCCCTCTCCCTCCTCTTCCAGAGCCCCTCTAAACGGTGCTGCTGGTCTGGTGTGGGTGGCATGCGGCGCAGAGATTGCAGCAGCACTCTCTGTCATCCCCACGTACCCAATCCCTTCTTTCCGCTGGCTCCTCCCCCCCCCTCTCTATCCCACCCCTCTCCCTCCTCTTCCAGAGCCCCTCTAAACGGTGCTGCTGGTCTGCTGTGGGTGGCATGCGGCGCAGAGATAGCAGCAGCACTCTCTGTCAAACCCACGTGCCCAATCCCTTCTTTCCGCTTGCTCCTCCCCCCCCCCTCTCTATCCCACCACTCTCCCTCCTCTTCCAGAGCCCCTCTAAACGGTGCTGCTGGTCTGGTGTGGGTGGCATGCGGCGCAGAGATAGCGGCAGCACTCTCTGTCATCCCCACGTGCCATTTCCCCTTCTTTCCGCTTGCTCCCTCCCCCCCCCTTCCCCCTCTCTATCCCACCCCTCTCCCTCCTCTTCCAGAGCCCCTCTAAACGGTGCTGCTGGTCTGGTGTGGGTGGCATGCGGCGAAGAGATTGCAGCAGCACTCTCTGTCATCCCCACGTGCCCAATCCCTTCTTTCCGCTTGCTCCTCCCCCCCCCTCTCTATCCCACCCCTCTCCCTCCTCTTCCAGAGCCCCTCTAAAACGGTGCTGCTGGTCTGGTGTGGGTGGCATGCGGCGCAGAGATAGCAGCAGCACTCTCTGTCATCCCCACGTGCCCAATCCCTTCGTTCCGCTTCCTCCCCCCCCCCCCCCCCCCCCCCTTCTATCCCACCCCTCTCCCTCCTCTTCCAGAGCCCCTCTAAACGGTGCTGCTGGTCTGGTGTGGGTGGCATGCGGCGCAGAGATAGCAGCAGCACTCTCTGTCATCCCCACGTGCCCAATCCCTTCTTTCCGCTTGCTCCTCCCCCCCCCTCTCTATCCCACCCCTCTCCCTCCTCTTCCAGAGCCCCTCTAAATGGTGCTGCTGGTCTGCTGTGGGTGGCATGCGGCGCAGAGATAGCAGCAGCACTCTCTGTCATCCCCACGTGCCCAATCCTTTCTTTCCGCTTGCTCCTCCCCCCCCCTCTCTCTATCCCACCCCTCTCCCTCCTCTTCCAGAGCCCCTCTAAACGGTGCTGCTGGTCTGGTGTGGGTGGCTTGCGGCGCAGAGATAGCAGCAGCACTCTCTGTCATCCCCACGTGCCCACCCCTTCTTTCCGCTTGCTCCTCCCCCCCCCTCTCTATCCCTCCCCTCTCCCTCCTCTTCCAGAGCCCCTCTAAACGGTGCTGCTGGTCTGGCGTGGGTGGCATGCGGCGCAGAGATAGCAGCAGCCCTCTCTGTCATCCCCACGTGCCCAATCCCTTGTTTCCGCTTGCTCCTCCCCCCCCCCTCTCTATCCCACCCCTCTCCCTCCTCTTCCAGAGCCCCTAAACGGTGCTTCTGGTCGCGTGTGTGGCATGCGGCGCAGCGTGTAGCGGGCGGGCTGCAGCGGGGGTTGTGACTCTTAGTACGAGGAGAACATGACCCCTTACGCAGTCCGTACGGTGCTCTCACACTCTGCTCCCTCTCCCATATGATTTCACTCAGACTAGTTCATCCCCTCTCTCCCCCCTCTATCTCCCCGCTCTCCCCTACCTCAACCAGAGCCCCTGTTCATGGTGCTGGTGGTGGTGTGGGTGGCCTGCGGCACGTGTTACCCAAATCCCACTCTCTCGACCTCTGGTTTCCGCCCTTCTTTGGGAGTCACCCACATATCCTTTTTTCCTATCCATCCGGCTGTCGTAGGTTCATTTCGCAGAGGGCCGGGACCGGATGTGCCTCGAGGCGCCAGACCATGCCATAGACTTCTACCCAACGCTCGAAACAGCGCGTGCAGGTGTTGTATGAGGTTATCAGCGAGACGCACGTCATCAACATGATGCAGCTGCGAGAGGCTATGGAAGACAAAAACATCATAGGCGCTTTTAAACGCGCCTGGACGTCATGGAAGAACGAACGTGGCTTCCATCTCAAGCGCAGAGTGCTCGTCACTTCGGCAACAAGGTGGAAGGCCTGCGTGCAGCCGAACTGTGGATGGGCACCAAGAAGAAGCGGAAGATGTGGAAAAATACCAACCGAGTGAGTACTTGCGTGACTGTTTTCCATCCCCTATTGACATGTCTGCTCATGCACCCCTCGTGCATGCCCCACGTTGATGAAGCACGTACCCCCAATGCATCCCCACTTTGGCACGCGACTACATACCTGCTCTCCTCGCCCAAGCTTGTAGCGCATGTGCAAACACATCCGCATGACAGCCATCCGTTGGTTCTTCTCCCACACTCCCCTTCTCCCCCCCCCGTTTAACTCCCGCCCTCCTCTTCTCTCCCGCCACCCCCCTTCTCTCCCGCCCTCCCTTCCTCTACCGCCCTCCCCTTCTCTCCCGCCCTCCCCCTATCTCCCGCCCACCCCTACTCTCTCCCGCCCTCTCGCCATTCATTCCCCCCCGCCCTCGATGTTCATCCATACCCTTTGGACAACCCTAAACCATGAGTCATGCATGATCACGGATGTCTCATGCTTCCCCGCATTCTCATACATGCGCGCAGGAGGGAAACAGCGGGTCAGCTCGTGGGGAAACAACAGAGACGGGCTCCCGTTTGCCAACGGCCGGTTTGTAGATGCGGTCCGGGAAGCATTTCGGAATTTCTGTGTCGGGCGCCGGGTGTGCGTCAAAGCATACCACATTGCCTGGTCAATCATGGTGGTACGCAATTATTGCTCAACCCATGGTATGCTCTAGCTTGGCATGCTGTTTGGTGTCCCTCGGCATGGTATGTGGGGCATTTAGCGCAGCCTCTAAACTCTGCACGCGAGTGTCCACTGAAGTTGGTGTATTTCCTCCATCCCATACTGTGCTATACACTTTCAGATTGACCAGGGCCTATCAAGGTTAAGAGGACTGACTGGAACGTCTCCAACTCCCACCGGAAGAACAGTGAATGGATGGGGGTTTGCACCGAAATGTGCGGTGGATTATCAAGGACCACTTCACACGCCACACCCCCGTGTACAATACAGACGTGAAGGGCTTCAAGTGGGGCGACCGTGGCTGTATGTTCACGAGTCAGGATTTGAGGCCTTCCGGGGGAAGGCTGAGCTTGATGCCGAAACGAAGGACCTGAAGGAGGAAGAAAAGGAGGTGTACGACTCGGAGGACATGGAGGAGGATAAGGAGGAGGAGGATGAGGAGGAGGAGGAGGAGGAGGAGGAGGAGGAGGATGACGAGGAGGAGGAGAGAGGAGGAGGAGGAGGAGGAGGAGGACGAGGACGAGGAAAGTGGGGCAGGAGCAGAGGAAGAGGAAAAGGCACAAGAGACCTAGGGCAGGCGGGAGGGATGAGGAAGAGGATGAGAAACGGGGGGGGCAAGATCTTAGGAAGGGCAGAAGGCACAAGGGGGGGAAAACCAGGGGAGGCAGGAGGGAAGCGGACGAGGAAGAGGAGAAGGAGAGGAGCTGGGGGATAAGAAACAGGGGGGCAGGAGCGGAGGAAGGGCAGGAAGCACAAGAGAGGCAGAGGGCAGGGAAGCAGGA